AAACTATTGAAAGACTTGTTTACCTTGGTCAGTCTTATGAACCTCTAACTCGTCATTGTGATGAGTTCGTATTGAAGTTGGCGTATGAAAATGAATTGGGAGCTACACGGTTAGTTCATGAAATTGTCTAAGCACCCTCACCTGTTTTTTTAAGCTTATGTCAACTCACTGAAAAAGGAATTCTCAGACCTCAAATTCTTGCGAAATCCATTCTTAAATATCATGATCAGTATTGGCAGGTTAAGCTCAAAGCTTTGATCAAGGTTCTTTGACATTTACTGCTGTTTTGACCATTTTTATAATCAGCTTGCGATACAATCGAAATCTGAAGATGCTACTCTAAGTTTGCTGATGTTGATCGAAAAGTTATTACGTGATGGTAGATCTTTAAGAAAGAAAGTTTATACTAGGAGACTTGATTTACTTGGTAAAAGGAAATCCGATGTTGTATGTTCCTTTTGTGTTTTGTGTGAATGTCATATGTTTTTAAGCGTATTCCTTCTAATGTTAACAGTAACACTGTCATCAAGAATGGAATCATGAATACGTATGACAAGTGCGATTCTTGGATAAATTCCGAGGAGGATTGGAAAGATGTCAAAGTTGAACCTTCTAATGAAAATGAAGATGAAATTGAAGATGAAGATGAAGAAGTAGGCATAGGTTCACTCTTGCTCAGGGTAAGCTACTCATGTTTGGAAATCGTCTAAAATTATCATTCACAGGAACATGAAAGCTGGTTCTGGAAATGTGTTTTCTGCCCAAAGATCGCAATTCGATCAGCCGCCGCCAAGATTATGTTCTCCATGTGTTCCCAACCTGTGAGTTAGAGCTTACCTATTGTGAATCAGTTTTTCTCAGGGACATCTCGGAGTTGGAGTGTGTATGATCTTACGTGGTATGATACTTGCTAGAACTGTGTCATCACACATGACTGATCAGTATTATCGTTATGCTCAAAAAATCGTAAAACAAATTCAACAAGTTCGAATTAGACTATATAAACATGGTTTCCATCTGGCTGTTATGGATGAGATATACAAAGAGTGCAAATTCTTGTATGATGAAGAAATAGATGAATCAAGCATGGATTTAGATGCCGGACTGCTTTTAAGAAATAACACAGGCATGACTTCCAGAATGAAAATTGTAATTACACGTTACTAATTTAAGAGCTATTCGCCAACCTTCTATCTGGGGGACCCATTGAAGAAGCACTTTTGAAGTCATCTCGAGATCATATCTTAACACCTCTTTTGGAGTCCACCATATTTTTGAAACGGTTGAACATTTTTGTATCCTAAACTCATTCAATTTCTTACAGTATTGTGTTCCGACGGACTAGAGCTCTGGATAGCTCTCGGCTTGCACTAGAAGCTTTATTGAAGCGAATGTCAATCAATGAGACTGAGTCTCATTTACGAACTGCCGTGAACTCTCTGAAAACCAAAGGACTCGATTGTTATACTCAGGTTTGTAGTCTTTGATTTACAGAGTACACATATGTTTGAGGCCCAAGTTGTTTCTCTTATAATGGATGTGCTCGACCCCGAACAACAGAAAGAGGAAGAATTTCTGATCACTATCGAGAAAGATGCCGCGCAAGAAGATTTCCTGCAAGGGAGAATGACTGGTAATCCATACAAGGTAATTAAAACTGTGCAAAATATTCTAAATTAATTTTCTCCAGTCGTCCGATTCTGGTCTAGGGCCTCTTATGAGAGATATAAAGAACAAAATATGTCGCGATACAGAAATGATTGCTCTTCTGGAAGATGATAATGGAATGGAGGTGTTTCTATAATCTGTAAACCCTATAAATTATTACTTTCAGCTGCTCGTGAACAATCAAATAATTTCTCTCTCTTTACCTGTTGCCGCTGTCTATGAGAAGTTATGGAGAAAAACACATCCAAATCAACCTCTGATAATAGTGTATCGAATGAGAGGTTTATTGGGAGATGCTGTTGAACCTTTCGTGAATTCGCTACAGGATGAAAGAGGTTAGCGTTTTTACCAGTATTTTTATATCGTTGCTTCCCTCCAGCTGAAGAGAACTCGGATTCTTCTACCTCTAGCATCGTGGAAGCTTTCCTTGAATGTAAAGGAATCGAAATAGCTAACCAATTAGTTCATGAATCAGAAGTGTCTACTGGTGGAAGGTTTGTTTGGTTTACTCTAACTAAATCTAGTGGTAACTTGAAGGCTTCTGCTCGGTAATCTCAAACGTCTTTATGATTGCGTTGCGAAAACAGGTCCAGGAAGACGGGAGCTGGTAAAAGCTGGATCTTTGGCAGAGTTTATGAGAGTAAGAACTTTATCGTATTTGCAGAAAACGTCACAATTTAGGTGGTAACTATGTGCGTAGATGGAAATTGCAAAGATGAAAGCATTCTGGCGATTGGGCTAGATTATCTAGACATAATGGGTTGTTTGACATCTGATATAGCGTGTCATCAGGTTTTGTGGTTCACATTGGTTTTTATTTTATTATTTTTCTAGTATCTTGGCCAATTGTCGGCCGCGGACAGTAAATGGCTAGTTGATATGACCATGCGTAGGAAAGTGAAACGCAAGCAAGACTTCCCAACCGAATGGCAGCCGTATCATTTACGGTTGATCCCATTACTTGGAAACCTCGTGCTAGGATCTGATGATTCGGAAGATATCTTGGTTGATGAATGTAAAAAAAGCCTTGATTGGGTTGGAGTTGATGCGGCGCAAACAGTGGCTAATACTACTGCTACTCGAATCACTTATATATTTGATCTTGGCGTACTGGCCAAAGTAATCGATGCTATTTTGCCCTCTGATTTTGGTAAAAGGATGAAGTCAAAAATCTTAAACTCGGGTGTTGTGTCTGAGGTAACTATTTGTTATTCCGTCTTTCTTTATTTTTGTTTCTCGTTAGGCTTGTGAGCATTTACTGGCCACACATCCACCTTTGTATTCAGCAACCGAATCTCCTGAATGGAAGACATTCTTAGCAAAGCCATCGTTGAGCTTAATGCTCCAATTCATGGCAAGCATGGCTCGTTTCCACGAGCCTACACAACTAGCCATATCTGAAAAGTCACTACATATTTTGCATCGTTTGGAACAGGTATTTGATGAGTAAAAATATCTTTTTGAGTTTGGAACATTGCAGGTTGCTTCGGATAATTCTATTGGAACTCTTGCAGAAAATGTTGTAGAAGCTTTAAAAGAAAACAAAGAAGTTGTTTCCAAATACTTTACAAGATTTATTATATTGTTTAGGTCGCAGACAAGATCGAAGCAGTTCGTACTGAGACAAAACTGAAGAAACGTCAGATGGCCATGCTAATGAGATCTAAACAGTTGAACCGAATGGGTATGAAGGAAGGAAAGTCTGGAGAAGTCAAGGTATACTTTTCTGAACTATACCAATAGGAATCCTTTTTTCCAGGTGGCTTCAAGAAGAATTGCCAACGAGCCCGTTCTTGATGAGGTTTCTGATCCGCTGTCAGCTTGTTGCATTTGTAGAGAGCCCGTGCTGACTGGACCGAAAATTGCTGCAGCATATGCTTTTGCTATTTCGAACTCATTGAACGAGTTAACAACGTTTTCTACTGTCAGTCAAATGGTTCTAGTACATATGGAATGTCATCAAGGTGCCATACGACGTGCTGGTGGTCCTCGTAATACAGATGAATGGTCAAAGGTTGCTATCAATGGATTCGTTCAGTCTGTATCTCGTAGTTTAGGCTTCTTTACACAATGCTGGGGCTAAGTGTAACTGTTTGATGCCTATAGCAACAGCAAGTTCAGTTGATACAACCGAATGGGAACACAGTCTAAACAGGTGAACATTCGAAAAACAACTCGGGGACAAATTTGTTCTAGGTTACACAGTGATTTGGAAGCAGTTTGTACAACACCTACCATGACTCGCGGGAATGTATTCTCAGACATTTGCTTCTTGATTGATAGATTCGTGCAGTTCAGGTATCACATAAGTAATTTATTCAAAATTTCAATTCATATTTCCTTCCAGTTCGTTCTCGGCTAGATCACTAGGGGGAGGAAGAGAATCTAATTCACAGTACCTTGCTATTCTTCATCTACTGGCATGTAGTTTGCCTACAGGCACTGATGAACTGCCGATCGCTGCTCCACGTTGGAGATTGTATACCTTCTTAATGACTGAGTTGTCATTAGAAAGTTGGAATGAACAACGATCGACTGTAAGTTTCAAAATCTTAAATGTTTCGAATAATCATTTCAGGTTTTACGCGCTGCCCTAGACGATGCTTCTACAGAATTGAGCCGAACTTGGGTTGCATTGCGGGAACTATGCATATCATGGGCTTTTGTAGATGGCTATTTCAGGAAAGTTATCCCGGTGAGTACTCTGATCACATGCTGTTAAAATTTGTTTCTCCCCAGATTTCGGATTCTGATAGATTGGAATGGTTACGCACTCACTTACAAGAAACCTTCCAAAAAACTCTCTCCTTCATCAACTGGTTCGATGGTACTGCTTGTAAACAAGAAGATCCAAAATCTTTCATTGAAGCCTTAGGTTTGTTTTCTTATAAGTTGGTGACTTCATGGACAAATTCAGATTTGGAATATGAAGACTTCGAAGCGTTTTTCTGTGATCTTCCCGAAGAAAGTTAAACTTCTTATGTGATCTGACGAAAAAATTTAATATTCATAATGCCGGTGTGCTTGTAGATAAACTGTTATAAAAACTTAGATATTGTTCATCGATCACAAGAAAACACCATCATCAAAGCCCACATTCAGTTTTGAATGAAAAAACTAATTCAACAAGAAAACTATAAAGAAGACTTGTATCATAACTAAAATTGTGTTCTTCGAAAAAAATAGTTGCTGAATGAATTTTCTTTTTTGTCAGGACGCAATTTTGCGTTGCATCAGTCTCCTTTAGAAAGACCGCGAAAAGGATATTTTCAAACTGTCCTTGTAGAGACAAATTTTCGAAGTTGAGTTGGAGAATTACTCACAAGTTAACTATGTGTGATGCTAAGCTTAAGACCAAATATGCTCTATTTTGCTCTGTACCCAATGCGGACGTGCTTCCAAAATTAAGGTATTTCAAGCATATAACATGTTTTTTATTTCGTTGAATAGTGAGTTCTCTACGTGGTTCTTACAAAGCTTATCCAAGGAAGCAACAACTATTGGACTTTATTATGATTTTGAATCTAATCCAACAACTATTGTACAGATCAAACCAGGAGATTTAGAAGGATGTGCTGCAGCTTATGAAGCTCTTAACAAGGTGAATATCATAAAAAAACTAAGGTTTATTGTTCATATTACAGGAAAATCCTTCAGTTCAATTAGTTTTGCATATACTGCCTGGTGCTTATTCAGACGAATACGATTGGATGAAATCTCTTGCTACCCGCTTCGGACTTGTAAGACAAGGTGTTTTGTTCGAAAATGCTTTGAACCGTTTTGCTACCATGAAACATGATGAAGTTTTCAAGTTGGTTGACCTCAGTTGTCAGCACTCTTCTAATCTTTATAGAAATGTCGCCCAATGGATTTCCCGATCATTATACAAGTTATGTAACTCTAGGAATATGTGAGTGAAGTTACTCTTCAGATATCATGAATAATTTAAGCGGAGATCGTGCTATCGACATTAGGGTGGGAACTTCTAAGGTACTTGCTAACGTCAAGGCTTACAATCCTCAGCTCATACAATCTGCTGTCAGTTTGGTACTTCATGGAACTGAACCCTCCGGTAGCTATGAGACTTGTTTGAGGAATAATGTTTCTTCTTCTTAAGTATGTAGGGAAGAGTCGGCTGTAAGTGTGGAAGGATTCTCCAGTGCATTGAACGAGTATGGTGTCTCACAGCTCTTCGACAACCTCTGTGTAACTGGAGTCAGCTTAACTCCTAATGGAGCCGTGGTTACATTTGTAAACAAATTCCATGCATATCAAGCTTGCTCCTTGAACAATACCGTGAGTCCTTCTCTCTATGAACTATATCTTATATAAATTTTTAGTTTTTGGATCGTGTGCACACCCTTCGTGTTCGCCCATTATCTAAAGAGGTATTGGCGCAACTTGCCCACTAGCATTGGAAAAGTGTCACCATGGTTACTGTGAATGAGCCGTGTATCTTTATTCTTTTTCATCTTATGTCACCTATATCATACAATGTACTATTCCATTGACCAGTCTATTTGAATCTTTGACAATTTTCGGGTTATCATTACTTAATTAATTTGATGAATTCATATAGACATCTTTGTTTGGTTGAGCAGCAGCCTATACCACTGGATTAAAGTTGTCAGTTTCAAAGTGTTTCACGTATTTTTCAAAACTTGTGTATATTCAAGAATTATCTTTTAAATAGTGCTCGTTAAGCAAAAATAGAATTTCATCCGATATTCTTTAAGTTTACCCCTTCCTCATCTCTCTCGTCTTTCTATATCTCTGGCCTCGCCTCGATGTTGTAACTACTGCTCATGGGTCTCCGCCCCCTTCATTCCAGAGATCTACGCGATGCGGTGGTCACTGCCGTTATTTTTTGCCTTCACTATCTATTTTCCATATTCGGAATGTTTAGCAGCGAGAAAGCCGTCTGAGATTGTATTGAAGACGAGCCAATCGTTCACTAGCCTAAATCATCCGTTAAGGACCGAATCCTTTACATTATGGTGCTCACCGGATAACCCGCAAGTAAATGTTATGAAGGCTTACTTCACAGTCACTAAAACGAAGAAGAGATTAGAAGCAAAGATTAATAGAAACAACGCTAGTTATGTATTTCAATCGCCTACTGTTGCCGATAGTGGAGAATATTCGTGTGATCTTCAAACCCTTCATGGACGTATTACTGGAAAAATCAATGTGTATGGTATGTTCAATTATCTCATGTTTTTTTCGCCCCTCTTAACTTTTCTCTGATGTTTTGTAATAATAAGGCTAAGCAGTGTCGAATATCGAGGTTTTGTTCCACGCAGGCCAAACACCAAATGAAAGTGTCACCTGTTACCATTACTGAAATTGATGGATGAATTTATCTCGATAACAATATTTTGGCCAGTCTGTGTTTGCTCTTTTCATCTTATTTTGTTTCTATAGAAATATCCACTTTGAAGGAATATTTTTTCAAAGAGCTCGGGTGTATCCACTTTTAACGCCCAAATACTTGTCGGAAAGAACGGAAGTTGTCTGTAGCAAGCTGCGACTCAAAGCTCTGCATTCAATTGCAATTCCGATGCCTAAATTGGGATTCGACTAGTTCCCAATGACATATTCAGAACTCAGCGATAGAACCGCTGATTCTTCAATGTATGCTTGGCATGCACTTTTTCGTCGTGTTAGTCCTATGTCGCTTCGAAAAAAGACGTTTGCGTTCCCTGGGGGTTCAAACGTTATTGGAAGGTCGATTGAAATATGAGAAACATTGACAACCCAAAGACGTTAGAGTAAACTGGCTTTCATACTTCATTTAGTGTTAGATTCGCGCATCTTTTTAAGCCTCTCCATTTGGGGTCAAGTGAGTATTAGGGAAAAGCATTCGTGAAAGCTCGATTTACCTATTAATCGATATAATACTGCTAGTTCCCCTTGAAGAAGTTTCAATAGTTCTATTGTTCTCGGGTCACATGTCCATAGAAGGCCTCGTCTATTGCTCTGCGAACCAAATCCGATTATAGACTGAAGAGTCTTTTAAAGCTTTCAGCTTCGTGGACATTTGATTTCTTAACTCCCTCCTCAAATGGAATATATATTGTTTCAAAACTTGTTATTTTATTAGGGCTGAAGAGCGAGCATAATATATGGGTTGCATAACAATTAAATAGAATTTCTTTAGGGCTAGGAGAGCTTTTGAAGCTCATGTGTCATTCACCAATTGATTCTCCTGTTCAACAAATGTGTAACTAACCTATTTTTCGTTCGGAGTTCCAGTTCAAGGGGGAGGGGAGAGTTTCTTACCTTCACATTTTTCCCTAGGGCATTGTCTAGGCGACTTGAAAAAAATGAGGAAGATGATACCCACAGAAAAAATTTCTTCTATATCAATCAGATTCGTCGTAAGATCATAAAACTGTCCATCTGGAAGTCATCTGTTTACTTCATTCTTTACTTTCGGCTAGTGAATTCGAAGAATCTAATGATACAAAGCTTTAGAACTAAAGATTTTACTAAAGACGAACACAGACAGTTGACTGACAGCAATCGAAGGGATAAATAAAGCTTTTCCCGTTGATTTAATATATCTTCTTTCTATTCATAGTTAATTTACAACATATATCACACAAGGTGAATGGTTTTTTCTAAGAGAAATTGATGTCGGGAGAGAAGTTGACAGCTATCTAATTCAACATCTGATAAGAAATTCTGTTTTTCATACTTTACGAAAAGTTATGAAGATACCGCATTTCATTTATATCAACCACCGTGTTGAAAACAACAAGGGCTCGGAGAAGAAGCTGATGTGAAGTTTTTCCTTTTCGTTGCTATGACGTTCAGAACGGTTGTAATTTGCTTACTCGCCAATTTGTAATTTCCTTTCTCTGAAATATTCCTTCTATTATTTTTTTCCGAAAATAAGTTTCACTTTTTTATGTTATCCCCGTTTTCAGTGAGACCGTTGGCTGCTTCAAACGATGAGCACTTCACTGCCATAAAAGATTTCAATGTTGCAGCTCCTAGAGTTCAAGCAGTGGTATGTAATGTTGCATATCCGTGTTCTATGTTGTAATTCAGGCTGGATCTGATGTGAACTTAACTTGCCCCGTACTTGCGTATCCGAAACCAGCGATATTCTGGAAGAAAGACAATAAACCAGTAGGTACGTGTTTTGGACTGAAACCTCTGTTGAGAGTCATAAAAGAGTAGGCAGTAGAAAATTATTAATTTATGCTGTATGAAGGAAGAGGAATTAAAAACTTTTTTAATATTCAGAGGACGGATTTCAAATTAATTCGGGCTTTTATGCTCCAGATGAAGAACTTTCGACTAATCTTTTGTGTCTTTGAATCAATTTTCCCTTGAAGAGCTGAGAAAAGAGAAGAGGGGTGACGTGAATGTTGTTTGAAAGAAAATAACTTATTTTTCAATGAAGAAGTTGAGCTGAAAACTGATATTTTATTTCAGAGTTGAGTGAAAATGTAATTGTGGATGGTTCAACGATCCGTATCAAGAACATTGATGAAAACTTGGTTGGTCACTACAGCTGTGAAGCTCGTAATGAGTACAATATTGGTGGAAGGATTTACAGCTCTCTTCTTGTTATCGAAAGAGACTTAATCGTAAAAAGTTAGTTAACTTGAATATAACCTAACGAAAACCTTCCCCATCGGAAGCGAATTATGTTAGCCGAAGTTAATTTAGTCGAGAGAGAATCTCATATTAGAAATGGCTTTTATTCTTGTCTCAACGGAAATGTGAGCGTTGAAAGAAAAAGGAAACTTGACATTCCAATTTTCCATCGGGTGCTAAGATGAATTTAACCAGAAAGCCTTTAAGATTGAAAACAATTTGTGTTGTTTCAGGTGAATTAGCTTGGATTTGGCCGTTGTTGGTGATAATTTTAATATTGGTGACGTTGGTAGTGATAATCTTTATCTGCGAAATCCGCAAAAAAAGACAAAACAAACAGTAAGCATCAAAAATGTTTGTATAAGACAGTATCTTTTCAGATCGCGATACTCTGCCCAGGAATGAGATTCTCAGTTTTAAAGTTGTTCTTCTGTCTCTCAAGTCGCTCAAGCAGACGTCTTATTAATTATTTTAGTTATTTGTTTGTACACGGGGTATTCTATGAGATATATTTCAACTCTTTTTGTGCTCCAAACGTTCATTTACAATCAATAATGAAGTACAATTGCTTTCTTCGATCTAATTCGTGAAGAGTTCGATAACAATATAAAAAATGTGCAGAAAGAAGAGAAAGGGAAACAAATAATAGTGAAATAATAGGAGATACATCATGTACAATAAGCCTGTATTAGTGAAAACTGTGACAATAGCTATTATGGCTTCTTGGAAAGAATCTACTCATCTGCCGATGGCTGACTGTCGTGATGCTATAAAATGGTTTCATGAAGCCCCTCTCATCAAGATTTCAATTTACCTGTACATGTGGTAAAGGCTGTAATTTACAATGAACAGACGGGTTTATAATAGAAGCTTTTCTTTGAGGAACAGTATCTGGCCGAGGAATCTGGAGAAACTCTTAAGAACATTGTTAACTTTTGCGAAATACCTGGAGATTTCCATCAGGCTCAGGAGAAGCAGGTTCTTCCTGTTTTTGTGGAGTAGTTTGAGAGTTGACAGTTAACGGATGAGGTCCTCCAGAAGATTTGAGACCTTTGTTCTTGTCCATGGCATAATCTCCGGAATCAAAGAACTTCTTGAAAGATATGGTATTACAAAAACTAACTTAATGGAACTAACTCTTTGCTGCAACTTTTTCTGAAGGAAAGAACTCGCTGGACGAGCAGGAAGCTTTCCTGTAGCTGCCAATTTATTCATTAACTGTTGCTCCTGTTGTTTTTCAACGGAGAGTCCTTCAGCGATATCAGCTGGTAGTTCACTCACCTCTCCCCGCATAGTAGCTTGTATTACCTAAATAGAAAGATAAGAGATTCAAAAACATTGCAATATAGATACGGAAGAGGAACGAAAGTGGAGTAACACTAAGTGGAAGCTTTTCCGAGGAAAAAATGAGGATTGTAATCGATAGAAACAGATGAAATCACGAGTTTTGTAACCATAACAACTAGGATTCACTCTTAATCCCAATCATAATGGAGAGCTGACGTCAGCGAAGTGTGTGCGAGCATCAATGAAATTCAATTAAACATAGAACTAAGGCAGGCCGTATAAGAAAAATCATTAAAAAGATTCAGAAGAAAGGGTTAACTAGAAATCTCGTAGATGCTTTCTAAAGATATTCTGCGTAGGTTTCGCAAACATTCGGGCCATATAATATTCATCCCACATCGTCATATGACACTAAATGTAATGAAAATTGGTTAGAAATCATCAGAAGACTCATCTATACGTCCTCTGCGCAAAATAGATGGATGATGTGTATCACCTCGAGAAGTAATATGAGTCTCCTAATCACATGTTATTATAACTTTAAATGTCACGAAAATAATAAGGAAATAGATGAATACGAATAAATCTAATGCCATCTATAAAACATAGTTGATGAACACTGAAAAAGCCGTTTTACAACAATTGTAAAGTTGAATTACAAGTACGAACGACAAAGTAATAACCTCATCTATATTGATCGCAGAGACATTGAATTTGGCTGCGGAGTTAGACTGAGTATCACACTAGCTCTATGTTGAGAGCAAAGAGAGCCCAGACAATATTTTGTCCGTATATGTAACTCACGTGTTTTTTGTTCGTCTTACATTGCTCTTCTCACAAACAAATTTCCGGTTATATTAAAATATTATAAGTAGTTTTCCTTCTCGAATATTCTCAAACAATTAAGAGAGGAAGGAATAACTCAGAAATAAAAAGAGGACGCTGTTAGAAAAGTGGACGGATGAGAATAAGGTTCAGCACCCTTGAATATTTGCTCTTTCTCATCTACGGCATTAAGATAATGAATTCTAATTATCTCAAACTATTCCTTTAAGATAGTCACAATGGCAACTCCTCGTTTAAAAGGACGGAGAAATGGGAATGGAAGTGGAGCCGTCGTATCTGATGTAGTGTGTTATTGGTTTGTGAACTTTAAATCATATTCAACTCTATTTTTCCGTTTCCAGTAATGGAGAAAGGGATCTAGGAAATTTGGAGTTATTTTGTTCCGGTTGTATGAGATGGTACCACGGCAAATGCCTCAAAGATTTAGGAGATTTGTTAGTTTTTTCACTCTCTGTTGCAATTTTATTCCCCGTATACAGTCTTAAGTATGGACTCTCGTTCATGGTTTGCTACAGTTTCAGCTGCAAAAACTGCAGCAACACAAGAATAGAAACTTGGGTTGCCAAACAAGCTAGTAAGTTCTTCGAGTAAATTATTAAAATACATACATTTCAAGATTTCGTACATATGTGCGTGACTGTCTTAGCTAATCTCACAGCTGATCGACTGCGGAAAGAAGGCAGACTCGAAGGGATCACGGCCAATTATGAAACACATTTTTTTAGGTTAGTTTTCTGTGCTTTTCAAAGGTTTTAATCAAATGTTTCATAGTTTGCATGAAGATATAATTCCTTATTTTGATGCTAATTGGGAAAATCTAACGTCAATGGGTAGACGAGTGAAGACTACTTGGCATGCTACTCTTCAGAAAACATTAGCAAAAGAACCAGAATTGTTCCAGGTCTTTATATATATTGAAATGAGAGTTATAATACGCTAATTTTGCAGACTGACCCGTTAGACGATAGTAAATATGCCTTAAGGGAAAGCTTATTTGATATAGGTCCTTGCAATGAGAAAGTTCGTATGGTTGGTGTTGATACGTGAGATATCCTATTTACGATTATCTTTAAGATCGGGTCTAGGAAAACGTTGACAGAAAAAAGTAACGTCGCTTCTGCCGTTGCACAAGACAAAACAACAGACAAGAATGAGAAGACGGACGAAGGACCCAAAACGAGAGGAGCCAGTAAGCGGAGAAACGCTGATAACAGTGGGGTAAACACTAAAAAACCTAAGTTAGTTTTTAATTAAATTCGTCTCTGAATCTAATCATTCAAGAGCTGCTGATTATTCATCAGCTAAAATAGCTGGACATGATTCTTCCATCGATTTCCCATTTAACAAAGATGGTTATCGATATTTCTTAGTAGAAAGAGATCCTAATGTTCCCGAACCGTATGTTTGTATTTTATCCAACTCAACATAATCTGAAATTTTAGAGAAATTAAAACTGAGAAAGATGATGCTCCTCTTATCATATTAAATACTTTGTATCGTGTAGTGAATACTGATATTGTAACTATTTCTCCCAATGATAGAGCTTATCAAGTAAGTTATCGTGGGGATGCCTTTATTTCATCATTTGGTTGAAGTTGCGCGTGGGTGACGACCAAATGACGGTAACTGGTTTCGAAGGATATTGCTTAGCCAGAGCAACTCATGGAGTTAGTACTGGTACATGGTACTATGAGGTAACAACATCCTCACAAGCTTCGTCATAATCTATTTTGTTTAAAGGTTCAATTTTTGAAACAACCACCAGGCACTCATGTTCGTATAGGTTGGAGTCAACCTTTGGGTATTTGTTGTTATTTTTTCTTTTCCAACTCAAACTTCTCTAGCTGTCGTTCAATCTTGTTGCGGATACAATAAGCTATCGTATAGTTGGCGGTCGTTAAAAGGAACTAAATTCCATGAAGGATATGGAAAAAAATATTGCCTTGGGGGTTATAAAGTAAGTGCATCTGCTGGTTGAAACTATTTAAACTATTGAATTTGTAGGAGGGGGACGTTTTGGGAATGTTGATCCATTTACCCCTTGACATTAACACTAATGTACCTTCTTCACACTACTTGCCTGATTCCATGAAGGATAATCATCTCATCAAGTTTAAAAGTAACTATTTCTATGAATCTCACGAAGATGTAGCCGCTCATGTAAAGACACTAGGATCTCTCAAAGGCAGCAAGGTAATTTTTAAAAACATCAGTGTATACTGTAGTTTCATTTCAGATCGAATTTTTCCTCAACGGCAAGTCTTGCGGAGTAGCCTATGAAGATATCTATCGAGGAACATATTATCCTACAGTCTCTCTATTCGGATGTAAGTGTTTTACTCGTGAGAACTGTTTTTATAACAATATGTTGCAGCGGCCTCTGTACGATGTAATTTCGGACCAAATGTGCGTTATCCTCCACCACCCGGAGCCCGTTTAATCTGTGAAAGACCTGCTGAAGTTCACTATGAACAAGCTCTGAGCGATATGTTGCATATAGTAGATGTTAAACCTAAGCCGGTCTCACCTGTCCCCTCCACCTAATCCAACTTGCATCTAACTTATTAATTTTTTATTGGTATTATATGGTGATCTCTAATTTCCTCAAGCGTATGTTGCGTGTTTTAAATATAAATTAGTTTTAATTGTAAGTAACGTTTCCTTCTGTGGATGTTTTTTTCAACTGTTATCTATTTGCGTTTTTATAAAAAATATTCCTATTCCTTGTGTATTTTTTAGAGCATGGAAGATTTAACTTTAGCTCAAGGAGCCGTTTTGGTAAAATCTTGTGAGGTTCCGAAGGAGTCTATACCTATAGTTGGTTATGATTTCAACGAAGGGATTAATTTTTCTAATCTTATGAAATCCTATTTATCTACTGGCTTTCAAGCCTCAAATTTAGCTTCTGCCATAGAGGTGACGTTTACACACATCCACAATTCTGATTGTTCTTTCTTCTTTTTCAGAGAATAAACAATATGCTCAGTGAGAGAGAGAAGGATTTGCCGGAGGATTGCTCTGAACCACTTTTTCCATATCCCGAAGGTAGAAAAAAAACTGGATGCACCATTTTTCTGGGATATACCTCAAATTTAGTCAGCAGTGGTCTGCGAGAAGTAAGAATCACATGATTGATGGAGAGTTTTCTTTGTTCAACTCGTGTTTATTCAGGTGATTCGATTCGTGGTTCAGCATAATCTCGTTGACTGTATCGTGACAAGTGCGGGTGGAATAGAAGAAGATTTGATAAAGTGCTTACGACCTTCCTATTTGGGTGATTTTCATTTGGATGGAAAAAAATTGAGGTTGGCATTTGTTCTTTTTTTTTTACAATTCGAAAGTTAAGATCACAGGGATTGAATAGGGCTGGAAATATCCTCATACCAAATGACAATTACTGCAGTTTCGAAGATTGGCTTAATCCCATCCTTGATGAATGTCTCAAGGAACAACTAAATGGATATGAGTGGACACCTTCCAAACTAATTAATCGGTTTTCTTTTGCATCATTTGTTATTTTTCATATTTTTATAGCTTGGGATCCGAGATTAAAGATGAGACTTCCATCTTATATTGGGCTTCAAAACACAAAATCCCTGTCTTTTGTCCTGCTCTTACAGATGGGAGCTTAGGGGATATGCTATATTTTCATTCTGTAAAAAATTCTCCGGGGCTCAAATTGGATATCGTCGAAGTCTACACTCGGTACTTCAATGTTTCTTCTATTTTTTTTCTTTACAGGATGTGCGACACATCAACACTCTGTCAGTCAAAAGTCTTAAGACTGGATCGATAATTCTGGGAGGGGGAGTAGTTAAACATCACATAAATAATGCGAACCTTATGAGGAATGGTTCTGATTATACAGTCTTCGTGAATACAGGACAAGTAAGTGTCATCATGAATGCCTAGACATGTCTTTCCAGGAGTTCGATGGCTCTGACTCAGGTGCCAGACCTGATGAAGCAGTAAGTTGGGGGAAAGTAAGCCAACATTGTACTTTTCCGACCCATTTTTAAAAATTTAGGTAAAGCCAACCTCCGAAGCAGTCAAAGTCTATGCAGAAGCAACACTGGTATTCCCATTGATCGTAGCGGAAACATTCGCTAAGAAAGTTCATAAATCATAGACACTTTTTCTTTGTTAATTTGTTCTTGTTTTCTCGTTGTTGAAATTTCATCGTTCAAAAATTAAAAGAATAAAATTTTTGAAGGATTTCGAAAGACTAACTGACAGTGCGTTTACTTAGTCACCAAGTAGGAAAGGAAAGCTGCTGTAGAAATGTTATGGAAGAACGCGCGACCTTTTTATTTGCTCAGATACTTTGCTTAACTTCTTCGAAGACGAAGACGCAAACTCAACTTCCAAGCTTTTTGAATTTCTGTTGAAACTAAACTACCTTCAACTAAGAAAAGACGAAGGGAGATTCGAATGCGAATGTTAGTTTTACCATGAATTCTTAGATTTTCTCATGACTTATAATTAATATCTGATTCCCAGAAAATCACCCGCGAATACGGTATCAAGCAAAGTCTTCAATATAAGTCACATTTCCAAATCAGAAAATGAGAAACTATGGAGCGAAGAGCAACAACTCCATAAGGCATCGAGCTGTGACGCGTCTCATGGAGCAGAGATCAAAAACTTTGGCAACATCGCTGTTGCGATTTGCCATGAATGAGGCCAGAGTAAAAACAAAGTTTGATCATCACTGGTCTGCTTCTACGACTTGATAAGCATTCCTGTATCGGAGAATGAGATTAGAAACAATTAAAATAACCTCCACGTTATTGATTGTCAAGTGAAGTCTTTTCGCTGCCAATATGTGCTGAGTATCTCACACAAAGCATGCTATGTAAGTGGAGGGCACAGACATTCTCCTTGCTGCCTCCGCCCCTCACTCACGTGTTTTCTTTCTCTCTTCTGTTGTTACCGCCTTGACACAATCTATTGATTTTTTTCTTCGTTGTGTAATTCCAAAAAAGGTTGGAAGCTAATTTTCTAATTCTAGCATCAATGAAATTCTTAATATATTTCTTTCTTATCTTCTTTTTTTTGTTTGAACATTTCATCGCTATGCATATTGCTGCTAACTATATGTTACTATTTTTATTTACTGTTTACATTTTTGTATGTGCCTTATTGATTTTTTTCGAAAAAAAATATTCTAATTTTTGTAAAAAGTCATTGTTCAGCGTGTAGTGGAGTGAATGAGCGGTCGGAACCGCTTCAATTTCATCCATGGACCTTGTCGTCTACCTCTCCCTTGCTGTTTTAGCAACGGTTTTCTTAGTTTCCCTAATAATACTCTTACTGATGTGTCGTCGAAGAAAATTATCGTTCGGCTTACCGGTAACTCATTTCTCACACTTTTCTTCATGAAATTTTCTTATTCTTTCTAGGCAAGCAATCAGTATTTCCGATTTTCGAAAATGAGCAACGACAACATCGAAGGTCTTACTCACCTCAGTCCATTAATGGGTTAGTTATTTTCTCTTTTTGTCTGTGTAAGCTGCCTTTCGTTTTCTGGTTTTAAGAGAGCTTGTCGTTCTTCTTTTCATTGGCATTGGCAATTTTCATGATTTGCTTATTAGCGTTTTCTTATCATTTCTTTGAATGAGAATATACTTTATCAAAATATGATACTATGGTCATTATATGTTTCGGAAAGTTTCGTTAGTCTGCTAAGGTATAAGGGTGCGAATTTCGATGGTTACCCACAGTGCTCATTGTTGGAAATGACCATGAAGTGACGAAATCTCGGTATGGCTCGCTCCCTTCAAGGTCATGGCATATTGCCAGGTGACCGTCATATGATAATGTGGGAACTAGTAGTCCTGATCATGTAGTATTAGGCAATTGAACAGCCGTTTCATCCTCATTTCACTTTTATCGCCCTTTGCTTAATGTGGAAAGCCTTTGTATGAAAAGAAAAAGTGAAATTCCTTTTCTAGTTTCTTTCCCTGAGACTCAGAACGAAGATCATTTCTTTATGATATTTTCTCTCTAGCTTTCGCGATGATTTCCATAGGATAAAGATTATCAGCCAAATATTGTTTTCCCCCATCTTTTCTCATATTATTTAAGATAAATTTATTTTTAGCCCAAATGCTTGATAAAAACAGTTGGGTCTGTGGTGTATCTGGGTTGCTGCAACATTGCGTTGCATTGTTACGCCTTTGTCATACTTTCACCGAAAAAATGTCTACAATACCATTAGATCAGGTAAATTGACCATTTCGGTCTTTTTTCTCATGTTTTTCTGTTGTGAAGGTGGGCCCTCAACTTAATAAAATATTTTGCGAAGCAACCTTGAGGATTATGCCACGCTTTGACGATCTTCTGGAATCTGTATCTAGTCCACATGTATGTTCTTGTCTGTTTCTTTCAACAATTTGATCAACTTGTGTTTAGATCGATATACGGGTTCTTGAAGCTCGAGCAACAGCATTAGCAACTGTTTGTTGGACTCTTTACTTACCAACCACATTATTGGGCCCGAAAGACAAGGAGGTGCGTTCCCATTTCTTTATTATGTTTTTATGTTTGTTCTTGAAGATGGTTAGCGATCCATTGATCGAGATGGAAGCTCATCTAAAAATATTACGGGAGGCAGCAATTCTTGCTGCTCGGGCAGAAATCGGTAAACTTGATGTCGATTGGTCCCGAATAGCTGATGATGATGAAGATGATGAGGATGACGATGAAATAGATGATGTGCATGAATCAACCAAAAATCAAGGATCCATTGAAATTGAATCTCTTCCCTTAGTAGATATGTCAAAATCATCCACAGTTGACACAAGGATCGATGAGTAAGTCTTTATCATAAAACTCTATGAGCTTAACATCCTTTTCAGAGATGACCGGCCTTCGAATGGGAGTTCGCATCCTATAGATCCTTCTGCTTAAATGCGGTTATGTATCACTTTACTAGCATCTCATTAGTGACAATAGGCACTACTTTTTGTTATTCAGGCTTTGTTTCTTTATTCTCAATCGACTTTTTGTCATTTATGCACTGTTTTTTTTTAGCGTCGACAATAGTTTTCAAATTTCTAACAGCGCATCTCATCTCTCCTCCAACTCAGATGTTTAAATTTTCTCTTCTTAACTACTATGAAATCGTTGGCTCATGAGCTTTTGTTATTTTATTCCTTTGTTACTTGTTCTCACCTGTTAATCTGCTTGTAAATTTCGCATGTCTCAATAGGCTTGTAATAACGATTATATCGTGTATTCTGATACCTCCAACTCTTTTATTCATATCCGTCGCTTCTCGGTGGACTTTTAACGCGGGAAGTTTGTATTACTGTCTCCAATTCACTTTGAACTTACATTGTACTATAATACCTCCTAATTACGCATATTCACGAACTCTGGTGGCTATTTTTGTGCTGAAATTGCTCTGCTTCCATTTACACGCGGCATTATAGCTGTACGTTGTAAATTAGGCAGTCAGACTCCTCAAATGGCATGCATTTGTTTACGGGAAAAATTACCTGATGTAACATTAGCTTATAGCTTGTACATTAGTTAGCATTAATAAATATAAGGCGCTTGTTCACGTTTTGTCCTGTACTTCGTTTTCTTTGAATATGATTTAGGATATTCGAAAACTACTTCAGGTTCATGTAAAACATTAGATCAGGGTAAATAAAAGATTTTTTCATGTGTTCTTTCAAGGATTGCGCAATGTTGTGTAACATAGTGGTGTATATTAGATTCATTTCATTTCGCTTTAGAGCCCGGTATTTTCGATTCACTTCGAAAGAACCTTCGAAATCACTTCTCAAGTACTATTTTGAAATTTTAAGTGAATCATTTCATTAAAATTATGTTGAAGTTACTGTGATTCGCATTAGAGCAGGAATTTTTTATTGCGAAGTGTTCTCCGTTACTAACGTTCTTATAACTTTTTAGTTTAACCTTTACACTTCTTTATTGTTTCCAGTTAATAATGTCTCTGCTGAATGAGCTATGCGAGGCAATGGGTTCGGTATTTTTGTCCCTCATAAAATATTTTTGAAGATTATTTTTTATAGAAACCACCTGAGGAAGTACGTAATGTATGTCTTATCGCACATGTTGATCATGGAAAAACAAGCTTAGCTGATTCTTTATGCTCTGCTAATGCTATAGTGTCAAGTAAACTAGATTATCCATCCGGAAAAATTATAATCTTATCAGATCGCTTGGCTGGGAAAGTTAGATTTCTAGACAGTAGAGAAGATGAACAAACTCGAGGAATTACCATGAAAGCTAGTGGAGTTTCACTTCTATACGGACCACTTCTTGTCAATTTAATGGATAGTCCTGGTAAGATGAGTTATGAGGCCAAGGGTATAAGCACAACCGATTATTTCGCATGAGGTTGAAAATGAAAAAGACATAGCACACGAGCAAAAACCGTAGAGAATGAATGCACCACCGCTAAATTGACATCACGATGAGAATGAAAACGAGACCGCTCGAACAAGAAGCTTTATCAGAAATGGAAGCATTAGAGACTCATTGTTCTTGCGCGAGAGAGAAAAAATAAGAGACTGGATAGCTTAATCTGCATGAGCCCTTGTAAAACTGACTCAAGGCGCTAATGAAAAACGAAGTGATGATTAATGATAATTTTGCAGGTCATGTCGATTTCTCATCTGAAGTAACATCAGCCATCTGTTTATCCGATATAGCCTTACTTTTAGTGGATGTGGTATCACTTCTTTCAGGGAATCTTCTCAATATTAAAGTTCTTTAGGTGGAAGGAGTATGTTCTCAAACTAGTGCCTTATTGAGACAAGCCATTGTTAATGGTCAATCACTTATTCTAGTCATAAATAAACTTGATAGGTAACGTAAAAATACATGGTTTGAAGAAGAAATTCATTGAAGGCTTCGATTAGAGTTGAAACTGACAGCTTCTGAAACGTATACGCATGTACGTCGTTTGATCGAAGCCGTTAATGCTTGCGTCAGTCAAATAGTGAGTGGAATTATTCTGGATGATGAAACATGGGGAAACATAGAAGACTTAGAAGAGAAATTACATTTTGACCCTTGTAAAGGTTCGTATCATTTAATGGAATAGACAAGATAATATTTTCAAAGGAAATGTCTTATTCTCATCAGCTATTCATGGATATGCATTTTCGCTAGAAGAATTCGCTGAAATTTACTTGGAAAAGCTGAAGATGGATAAACGAACCATTATGAATGGACTGTTTGGTGATTTTTATTTTACCCCACAGGGTATTAAGGTTCGATTGTAATACTTGTCTATGTGATATACTTCTCCATTAGAGCGGAGCTAATGCGAAAGGAAAGAAAACATTATTCGAACAGCTTATTATGGAACCTATCTGGGCTCTTCATGATTGTGGTCTGATTGATAATGATTTAGAGAAGCTTACGAAGCTAGCAGGTTAGAGTTCAGCCACGTATTATTAACTCTCGTCTACTGTGCAGAAAAGATCGAAGTTCCCTTCAAATCCAAAAGGGTTAATGAAGCTTTCGACGAGGTTATGAGAAATTGGTTACCCATATCTAGAGCTTGCTTCAGAGCTTGTGCAAGAACTGTTTCAGCCAAAAAAGCTTTCACTAATCAGCAAAGGTTTTATATACATGTTATTCCACTGATATTCATAGATTCAACTTCAGATTAAAGAAACTCCTGGGAGACCCTACTTCTCATCCTTTAGCTGAAGCAATTGAAAATTGCTCTCCAGAAGGTGACTAATTTATTCAATACATTGTTTAATAAGCAAATCAGGAATGACGATTGCGTTCGTTGTGAAGTTCATACGACTTGAAGGACAAAGAGTGGCTATTTGTCGTGTTTTGAGTGGCAAAGTTCGCAAAGGAGACAAACTTTTCGTATTAGGAGCTAAGGTTCGGAACTTTTCGTTACATTGAATAGTTCTTTTTGTTCTCAGAAACTCGAGGATTCTTCGGATGCAGTAGAAACAGAAGTTATAAGCGTTAAAATGCTCCGAGGTCGTGAGTGTATCCCTCTAGCAGAAGTTAATTCTGGATGTATTTGTGTAATTGAAGCTAATGGCTTACTTCAAGTGAGTTGAGCGAAAAAAATACATAATGCAAACTCCACTTTTAAGAATTCCACTCTTTGCTCTGAAGCAGTTTCCCAGGGCATACAACTTGGTCGTGAACAGGGTGAACCTCTAGTCCGCGTGTCTATCAATACCTTGGATTTGAATGCGACAGAGGATTTTAAGGAGGCTTTGAAGCTTTTATCGGTATTAGATACCAGTTTGAGAGTACTGGAATTGGAAACAGGAGAGCTTGCTTTAGTAACAGCAGGAGAAGTTCATTTACAAAAATGTTTGAAAGATCTTGCAGATTTAGGGTTCCCTGATTTAGAAGTATTTTGATTTCTTGTCTTTCCATTGTGATTCATTATTTTAAAGGTCTCTGCTCCCATTGTGCCTTTCCTGGAGACAATAGTTCCTGACCCTCTACTGACTTCTGCTCAAATCGTTGCCCAAGATACAGTACTCTAAGATTATCATTCTTCTTTTTAATTTCCATTTGAGGAATGTCGTTTGAGAGGTGATGCCTTGTTTATCCGTCTTCGAGCCGCTCCTCTTCATATTGATGTGGTCGATTTCATGGATAAACATGCTGATATTGTTCATCAGCTTAGATTGGGAAAAGCCGATGTCAAGCTTGCTGAGGATTTCAAGTGAGCTGCAGTAATTTATGAATTATCATTGAAAAAAAATTTAAAGATCGAAACTTCAAAATCTTTGTAAGGAAGTATTACCATCTATGAAAGGAACATATTGGTTCAAGAAATCTAACGAGGAAATCGAGGAGCTAGTAGAAAAGGTGATTCATTCATTTAATTTCAAGAAAGAATGTTAACTGTCTTTTGAAGATTTGGACTGTGGGTACTGACAGAGCCCGGGCTAATCTTCTAATTAATGGAATTCCCTCATATGATAGGAAATCCTTCTGGAATAGTAATTCGTCGACGATCGAATTTGTTTATTTAAAGTTATGTATTATAGAAGAAGAAGGCAGGATTAGGCCATTTGATCAAGCCATGATCTCAGGATTTGAGTTGTTTATTGGCGCTGGTCCTCTGTGCAATGAAGCCATGAGAGGAATAGCACTGATAGTGGAAGATTGGATTTTGGATGAGAACGTTAGTTCGATTGAGGAGTAAAAATTGGTCTAAATTGTTTGAAGGATGCCGTAGTTACGGGACAGCTTATGTCTGCTATGAAAGCGACCTGCAAAGCTTCATGTGAGAAAGTTGGCCTACGATTGGTTGCTGCTATGTATAGGTATGTATTATCGCGTAATTAGAATGTTCGACTACGAATTATACATAGATGTTTGGTGTCTACTACAAGCCAAGCATTAGGAAAAGTTCATGGAGTTCTAGCTCAACGAAAGGCTAAGGTAAACAGAAGAGGATAGAAAAAAAATGAAGTAATCAATTATAGGTACTAAGCGAGGACATCAATGAAGCAACAGGACTGTTCGAAGTAGCAGCTCTTTTACCGATTGTAGAATCGTTCTCTTTCTGTGATCAATTGCGAACGCAATCTTCTGGAATGGCTAGCGCTCAATTACAGTTCAGTCATTGGGAGGTTATTGATGAGGTTGGAAAATCGAAGTCACCCTAGAACTCTTTTTGATTCATATAGGATCCTTATTGGCAACCTTCGACGTTGGAGGAAATGGAAGAGTTTGGATTGAAAGGAGATTCTCCGAATCATGCTAGAGGTTACATGGATGCAGTTAGAAGAAGAAAAGGTTTACCGACGGAAGATGTCATTGTGGTTTCCGCAGAAAAACAACGGAACCTTAAGAAGAATAAGTAATTTATTGTTAGTTATATATGATACGTTGTTACTTTTTGTTGTTGATTGAAAAAATGGTTTTTTTTTAAAATTTGGCTAATGTTGAACTTCGATGACACGTTACGCAGTAGAGAAGGCCAATCATCACTTTACTCAACTTGTTGACGGTCTCAATTCATAATATTTCATGAAATTCGAGTGGAAGAAATTCAGATTCCTCGTAAAAGCAGCGAAAGAAGTACTCGATCAAGCAAAGAACATGTAGTTCGACGTATAGTCTTGTCATTTCATCATTGAAACTGTGTGTAAATTAAAGAGACGCAGAGAAACTGGCATGTTGCCATGACTGCGCCCGCCTATCGATCACCGAACGACCGAATGCACTACTGAGCAGTCTTTCTTTTGTGTGTGGATTCTTCTATAATTTTCTATATTTTAGTATTTCGTTGTGTTTTGTGGATCTCCTTAACTCACATCCTATCGTAGGATACTTTGAGGACACTGATATAGAAGAAGAGAAAGAAGGAGAAGAAGGAGAAGGAAAAGAGTAGTAAAACATAGTGTAGTCTGTTTGTGATCACTTCGCCGTTCCAACTACGACGAGACGGATAATCTTAACAACTTATTAGAGGAGCTTTTATAAAAGAAAGCTTAGCTATTAACGGTTAAAAGAAAAATTGTAAAACGCAGAAGAAAACCGGTTTGAACAGAGTGACGTGATGGATTTAGGTGAGTGTAGTTTCTTTCTATTTCAAGAGTATATAGTTTCATCTTAGGTTAAATTTTTTTTTGTTATAGTTGATCCTTTGGCTGAACCCTGTGCCGTTTGTGGAGATAAATCAACAGGAACACACTACGGAGTCATTTCTTGTAATGGTTGTAAAGTAAGATACCTTTTTCAATATATTTGTATAAGTTAATAGATCTTTATTGATATTAATCGAATTTCGAATGAGTCCATCGATACATTTCTTATCAAGTCATATGTTACTTCATTAGGCTTTGCTTATGAATAATTGATCGATAGCAAACTTTTAACAATCTTATCTTTTGTAATCAATCTTAGCAGCTCTCTCCTATCACATAATATTTATGCTTCCTTCCGAAATTACCTCAAAACTATCGAGAAGTTCGTGTGATGTCATATATTTTAGGGATTTTTCCGAAGAACAGTTCTAAGAAATCAGAAGTTTACATGTCGTTTCAATAAAAAATGTATTATTGACAAGAATTTCCGTTGTGCATGTCGCTATTGTCGTTATCAGAAATGTGTCCAAGTCGGCATGAAACGAGAAGGTAATTATCTATTTCATCTTTATAAAATAATTCTCAACCTCTCTTTCTGCGTTTTATTTCTAATTCATCTGTTATTTCTGTTTTCCTTCTGTTCTCTGTTTATTTCTCCGTACATTATGTCAAAACCATATTTTATAGCAATCCAGTTCGAACGGGATCCTATTGGCTCTCCATCGAAGAAGATGAGAGTTAGCCCTCCACCTTCTGCAAACAGTTACCAAATGAGTCCCGGAAGTGACCAGCAGAGAAACGTAATAGACTCTCTGATGGAGATGGAAAGTCATGTGAACCGGGTTCATCCTAAATTCATCTTCTCCTATTTATCATCGCTTTACAGGAAATGTGCGCTAGATATGAGAACAGTGTTTTCCGAAACCAACAAGTACCAACAGCAGCTGAAGGACAGGAGTCTTCTTCTTTTTCAGAAGCTGACCGTCCTTGCACGGCGGAGGTTCTTTTAAATTGTCACTTACCATCTGTTTTTTTGCGTTCCAGGACTTGAACGACATTTCGAGGACCACACTTCTTTTGATGGTCGAATGGGCGAAAGCGTTGTCTCCTTTCCCTGATCTTGGAATGGAGGATAAAATCATTTTATTGAAAAATTATGCTCCACAGCATCTCATACTTATGCCGGCATTTAGGTTTGTAGTTATACAGTTTGTCCTGTCTACTTCTATGTTGTTTAAAGAAGCCCCGATACAACACGTGTTTGTCTTTTTAATAATACTTACATGAGCCGTGACTCAACTGCAGAGCTAAATGGTTTCGCTGCTTTCAAAACGAGTAATATTACTCCTAGGTAGCGTATGATCATATACGTCATCCTCATTTCACTTGTTATAGAGTTTTGGATGAGATCGTATGGCCTATGCGTCAATTACAAATGAGAGAGCAGGAGTTCGTCTGCTTAAAGGTTTATTTACCGAATATTTCCATCGTTAATATATGTTTCTAGGCGTTGGCTTTTTTGCATCCTGAAGCAAAAGGATTATCCAGTCAGGCTCAGAGTTTGATCAGAGAAGCCCGAAATCGAGTATTAAAAGCTCTTTACGCTTATATTTTGGAGCAAATGCCCGACGAAGCCCCAACAAGGTCCGACATTGAGTTTTATATCAAATCAACACCAAACATCGCCAATTATAACAATTAATCCGTTTCAGATATGGAAATATCCTTTTGTTAGCTCCTGCATTGAAAGCTTTAACGCAACTGTTGATCGAAAACATGACTCTGACGAAGTTCTTCGGATTGGCTGAAGTTTTTGATTTCTGGTGACAATTCATATTTCGTTTTCTTTAAGGTTGACTCCTTGCTTTCTGAATTTATTTTGGACGACATCAATGATCAGAATTCAACACCCGTTAATCTCCAGGCTCATCTTCAATCACCTACCTCTTTGAATGCCAACAACTCTGTAAGGAGAGCTTGAGTTTTGAAAAAGATTGGAGTTTTCCAGATCTTGAACGGCCATGCTATACTACATGCTTCTAAGTCACAATCTCCAAACACTGAGGTAAGTGGATGTCGGTACCTGCTCCTATATTCTTCTTTATAGAAAAAACCCTGCACGTTTTAGATGGAAGAAGTCGCGTTGTATATTTTTATCTATTTTCTTGGAGATTTGATGTGATATATGTACATATCTCCACAATAATACTGGTGTCGAACCTATCCATCCCTCCATTTTCGGCATATCTTGCCCTCCATTTTATCACATTTCCAAAAGCCTTTGTGGCAGATACAAAAGTTATCATTGATCTTTAAGAGCGTTCTATCAGATCAACCCAGATTTATTCAGAGATTCTATTCGTTTCAAATTTTCGTTACAAGCTGTTACTTTACATTATAGATAAATATATTTTGTTTGAAACAACTTTCTCTCTCCTTGTCTCCCTCTCTTTGTTTTCTGGTGACTTTCAATGAAAATCTTAAGAAAAACAATGTTTCCAAACAAGTATTCTATTGAAAAACAATATTTTAATTGGTTATTAGTAAATACTTTATCAGTAACTTCTCCATTTTCAGTGATCACTCGGGGAAACAACTGATGCCAGACCATCTCAGTTCATTCACGGATGTCACCTCAACCGACTTCTTTGTTTTCTCTGTTTCTCTCTCATAATTCTAATCAAGAAAAAGAACAAGAGAAAAGAAGAGCATAAATTTCATTGGGCACATAGAAAACGAAGAGACAGCATGTGGTGTGATCAGGAAATGATAACGATGCTACGACACACTGCCTGGCTTCGGACCGCCAACACCCAGCATTGATTGATCCGCCTTCTCTACCTAATGTCTGTGTGATCATCCTTCTTCCCGTTCTTCTTCCCGTCTTTTCGTCTTCTACATCGTCATCAACTCTTTTCCCTTCTCTTAGCTTATGAGTATTCCATCACAATCTTTGTGTTGATGGCGCTGCGTGTCAGATCTTTCTGTCGTCTCACGTACGATTTCCTTCCAGGAAGTGTCACCAATTGAACATTGGTGGTCTTTTTTTATTTTAAAAGTGTTCAGACTGTATAATTCTGTCTGTTTCTCTCTCTCTGTGTTATTAATAGTCTTCTGTGGTTGGTGATAGCCATAAGAGCTTCTGACAGTCTGACAGAAGCTATTGAAAACCTCTACAATGGATACACGACCCATTTTTGTGTCTATCATTACAGAATTTGTTTTGTTTCTCCGTGCTTTCCACTCGCCTGTTTTTTTATTATATTTTTTCAAACATTTTTCGTTTACTATAGACATGTCTGACGAAATATGTGATATTTGTAATGATCGTGCAACAGGGAAACACTATGGAGCGGTCTCATGTGATGGCTGTAAAGGTATGTTTCAAACAATATTATAATTACCACCGTTTGTCTCAGGTTTCTTTCGAAGAAGTATTCGGAAACGTCATGATTATGTATGTAGATTTGATAGATGCTGTGATGTAACTCGTAGTAAGTTTTAATATCTAAAGATCTTGCTAAAAGTATTCTTTAGCTTAAAAACCTGACAAGAACTTTTCAGACCAGCGAAATGCCTGTCGGTCATGTCGTTTGCAGAAATGTTTGAAAGCCGGCATGAAGCAAAGTGGTGATTACTAGGCTTGTTATTTCCTTTTTTCAATGTTTATTTGACCCTATTTTAACCCATTAAACTTGTTTTTTAATGTATTCATGTTATTGTTTTAGCTATTCAAAGTGAACGCGACACTATTGGAAAACGAAAAAAGTTAGATGAAGCTGAAGATGACGAAGTTCTCCTCAATAGTTTGATTCGATCTGAGAATCTCTGTCAGCAACTGCGTTCTTCAGTTATCAAAAGTACGGAGCAGGTAAGAATATTCAATCAAAAACTTTGCTGTCTTATGGAATTGATTGGAAAGATGCGAAGAAGAGAAGTGTCTTCTTCTTTTGATTACGATTTGCCTGAAGAATTATGGGAGAGTGGGAGAGAGAACGGGATTAATAACACAATTTCTGTGGGTGTTTATCCGTATTGTTTCAATACTATCTATTATTTCTTTGCACATCGATTGTAAACATTTAATTTTTGATCACGTACTTCTTAAGATGGTGGATGAAAAATACTTTTTCTCTCTTTCAGTGTTTTTATAAATTATTTTTGATGAAATTTTAGGCGTCCTATGACTGTGGCAAAGTTAAATGTTGGAAGAATGAGGATGACAGAAGGGCAACTTTGGATGATGTTGGAAAGAGCATACATCAACAACTCGTTCTCCTTGTGGAATGGGCAAAATCGTTGCCTCAATTTGGACGTTTTCCCGCACAAGATCAAGTCTGCTATGATCTTTTACTAATTTCATGATACTTCTTTGAAGGCTGCCCTGTTAAAAGCTACAGCCGCCCAAATGATTATACTTGGAGTTGCATATAGATCTCGAGAACTGAACGAAATGATATGCTTAGCCAACGATACGCTAATTCCCAAAGATCATGCTGCTAATATTGGAGATATAAAGTAAGAGGCTTTCTTGAGAACAACCGGTAACTGTCAATGGAATGAGAAAATGAAACTCATTTTCTAATTGTTAGACGGGTTAGGGCTGATGAGCCCACCGGTCACCTTATTCACGAACCAATCTAAATACAAGGTACATTAAGTTTCAGCTGCGTAGTAGGACGAATAATTGATGAGTTAGTTGTCCCTATGAGGCGACTATCAGTTGATATATACGAGTATGTGGCATTGAAAGCTATTCTATTCTTCAATCCCGGTGAGTATGTAAGTGGTTATCATTTATAAGTATATTTAGTTGCAAGAGGAGTATCACAACCAGAAGCAGTGGAGAAAGCCCGAATCGCTTGTATGGATGCTCTTCAAAAACGATGCCAGAAATCAACTCATCCCTCTGAATGCCGTAATGGCCGGCTTTTATTACTTTTGCCTTCTTTACAAGCAGTTTCGCAGCAAATGGTTTGTTACAAGTCGATATCTATATTAAAAAAAACGTTTCAGGTGGAAGATGTTCAATTGGCGAGGTTGTTTGGCTTAGCAAATGTGGATTCCTTGATGCAAGAATTGATATTACACGATGAAAGTTCGAATAATATCGTTCCTCTACAATCCCTCTCTTCTCCTCTTGTTATTAAGAATGATCTCCTGTGAAACTCTGAGCTTTAATGTCGATGTTCTAACCTGGAAGAATAGCGTGAAAAAGCCATATTAATTCCTTCCAGCTATGTTCGGAATAGTAACTGTTTTAAGCATAGTTTACAGATACTTACGCATGCCATTGTACATAAGAAAAACGAATCCGTTGTTAATTTGTTATAAAACCGAAGAGCCCAGCTCAACACTTTTACGGTTCTCCCACGTTTTCCTCAAACATATCGAACACTTCAACTTGGTTAACCTGCACTTTCGCTAGATAAATTATATTTTTACGAAGTCTAATAAACCTGAGCACGTCGTCTGATAACTTTATCACACTATTGATTAGTAAAATCATTATTCTGTACTTTATTCTTATAAGAAATGCACTTGATGAGTTATTTAACATCCCTGATTGATCGATTTTAACAACAACAAATGGGATGAAAGACAATACAAAAGCACTTCGAACGATGCATCAAAGCAGGGAACAAAACGACTTTCACATTTTTTTTTGTCAAAATCATCTTTAAAGTTGTAAAAAAGAGAAGAACAATTATATTATTATAATGCTGCAGTTTCATCGTACATACTATGTACGTTGTTTACAACTTGTAAACATCGCACACCTCTAAATTTCGTATCCAAATTGAGTATCAGAGTGAACAACTCAGATAATCACAGGAAGTTGTAGATTAAGCAATTCATAAGTTAATTATTATTCTAAAAATTGTAGATGTCAAGTGGTTTCGTTTCTTCTAATGAATTAGACGAGGAAAAGAAAAAACGCCAGGAAGAATGGGAAAAAGTGAGAAAGCCAGAGGACCCTTTGAGTATGAGTTACTTTTCTTAACTGTGTATAATTCATTTGTTCGTAGGTGCTCCCGAACCTGAGGTTTGCAATAAAACACTATTCGAACAATTGAGAGATAATAAAGATGCTAAAGATGCTGAAAAGGCCGAAGCTAAGAAGTTTAGTAAGTATATCTCAGTAGTCACGTCCCTCTATTGAAACATTCAGAAAACATGATTCGGGGGATAGATGAAGGCGAAAGTGAGTTCTTATCAAGCTTTTTTGACGCAAAGGCCGAAATGGAGAAACAAAAAGAAAAGGTTCCGATATTTCCGTATGAGAAACATTATTAATTTTGAGGAGGAACTAGAACTTCTCAAACAAATGGAGAAAGCTAAAACTCAAGTCGTGCAAGAGGCTCCTTCAATAACAGCTTCCATACCTGTTGCGAGTAGTGGAGTAAAATCCAAGCAAGCAAGTCTCCTCTCCTCCGCTATAAAGAGAAAATCGTGAGTGATCCTAAGTTTTCTTCAAATTATTCGAGATTCAGAGACAATGCTGAAGGTCCAAGTGCTCAAAAAATCAGTAAGAACCAGAAAACAGAAGAAGTCATTCACACGAATCCAAGTGCTCTGCAAGTTATAGGAGTCATTCCTGGTATAGGAAGTTATGATGCATCCAGGTATTGTTCCTTCAGCCTTCCTTACCTAGCTCATTTATTTTAGCGATAGTGCGTCTAGTTGCTCATCGGACGACGAAGGTATACTGCCCGTTTTGCAAACAACTCGTCCTGAGAAGCCAACAGCGGAACATTCTTGAGTTCCGTTTACGTCTTTGAGCATTTAACATAACATATGTAAGTTACCGCAACTTCCAAATTTGAAAGTCAACTGGAACAGTTCCTCTCTTCAAGCAAATTTCATTCATGTTGTATTTAATAATTTTATAACTTAAAGGTCTGTGTCTATTCGGGTCCAACACGGAGGTCGAAAAGCTCTCAACTGTTCGGAGATTAATTAGTTATCCAAATATATCCAATTTTTATGAGTTCCGATGAGATATAAACGTTCTGTGAAAGAAAAAAGCCAAGACTTGGAATAAATGTTAATCAAATTGAAGTATTATTAGCCCAAAAGTAGAAAGGAATATTTTTTTTCTGGAATATCTTGCGATTCGTCTTTTCGTGCACCTCTTAATGTTTTAGATGGCATCGAAGGATGTAGCAGAACACTATAATAATGTCCGCCAAGAAGGACTCGGTGTCCGATCTCAGAGTAGAATTTACTATCAGCGTAATTTGAATAACTGGTTAAAAAGTGAACTGATAAGTACGGGTGAAACTTCTCTGCCTCATGTTTAGAAATTCTGTTCAGATAAAGCTGTAAGCTTATTGAGCTCAGATAAAGTAAGAGTCTTAGACATCGGATGTGGAAAGGGTGGTGACCTCAGAAAGTGGCAGTTTAAGGCATGCAGTATGGTCTTGGCAGGTTAGGATTTTCTTTCGAATTGCTCTGATCGAATGAATGAAGATGTCGCTGATGTTTCTATCGAGCAGGCTCGCAGTCGGTATGAGGAGAATAAACTCAAAAGACAAACAGATATTCCTATACAATTTATTGTTGCAGATTGTTGCAAGGTTTGTCATATAGGTTTCTTGTGTTGATGAGATTATATCACAACATATTTATGCTAATGTTGATTGTCATGTGGTTCGTGACGCGAACATTCGATTAAGAATGATTAAACTGAAAAACGGGTTATCCTATAGTTCACTATGAGTTCTATTTCAGGTTGATCTCGCTCCCCTTATTGAAGATAAAACATCTTTTGATATTGTCAGTTGCCAGTTTTCTCTTCATTACTCCTTCATTAACGAAGAGTCTGCCAGATGCTTCCTGAAAAACTGTACTCAAAACTTAAAACCAGGAGGATTGTTCATAGGAACTCTCCCCGATGCCGAAAGAATAGTGTGAGTTGTTTCTATTAATTGAAAGCTCATGCCCTTTGTTTCACATTTTCGTATTGGTTTTTTTCATAGATTAATAGCGCATGTTATGTCAAATCCAAAGAATCTTCCGCATAGGGTTGTTTGTCTTATTTTGGTGAAATGGTCCTGTCATTTTACTTCAGTTCTTTTTGTTGAATTAGTCTGCCGTCTTTGGTAATTTGTCACACTGCGCAGTGACAACCTAAGCCTGTAACTGTTCGTTCTCGAACGCAATTCTAATTTTCTGTGCTAAGATAACCAAATGATTTAAGAATACATTTAAAACTTTTCGCTAGATAACATATGCAGTCCTATGCAGAAGTGGGGGAGTTTTAGTGAGTGGTTCATTGAACCTGCGTGGTTTACTTGATATCACCGGAATTCGTCCATAAAGTCCTATTACCGACCGAACTTTGGTCGTCCCTTTAAAGCTTCAATTCTCGCCCTTGGTTTATGCCGCGTCTGATGTTCGAAAAGATTGTATGGCCGGAAACCGACTCGTCCCTTACGGAAATTAGTTGATGCAGACAGGCTCTCAGAGGAAAGATTCATATTCCTTGCTTTTTGCGTTCTGGTTTTCTCTGTGAAATGCTATGTCTATGCTGTCACTTAGTTTTTTAGTTGACATAATCCTTTCGGATCCGCAATGCCCCAAAAAAAATTGCCTTGATGACCCCATGCTGACATCCCTCTTTCGGCTTTTGCTTGTTAAAAGAAAAGAAAACGAAACAAAGTACCATATCAAAACCGGATGAAAAAGTTTCTCAAACATATTCTGTCAGTGTTGATGAATATCTTGTAATATTGAATGTTTATTCTTTTTTTTCAGGTGGGCCGCCAGAGAGAATGATGGTGAGTATAAAACAGCAGTATGCAGTGTTACTTTTGAAAACAAGGAGGAAATGAAAGTAGGAAAGATAACATGATTCAAATCACGAACTTTTTCAACACACAGGGACAACCACCACTGTTCGGTTCCATGTTTCATTTCAGTCTCGACAGCCAAGTGAATTGTCCGGAGTTTTTGGCTTATTTTCCTCTTTTACAACAGTACGTTTTCCTTAAGATATTTGTTACAGCTTGTTGCGTTGCTATAAGTTTATCAGGTACCAAATAGTGCTACCTAGTATGGCAGCAAAATTGAATTAGTGCGTGAGAAGTTGAATGAGCATAGTGCACTTGTGAACGTGAGAGACTGAATGATCAGAGTGCAGTTGGGAAAGTTTAGATTTCGAATGAGTCTGAGCAGGTATTTTCTCTGAAAGTTATCGCAACAGAGTATGCCATAGCATATTTTCCATAAACTATGGCGGCTGATTGTATTAGCTTATCAATTGTCTCATAATTGCTTGTTATTGGGCTGTTTTGAGCCCCTCGGGAGCTTTGTATAGTGAAAACTTTGATATCCCGAATTTCTGTGTGGTCGTAATCGATTTATTAGCCTTCAAATCATATTACCTGGCATAGCAACTAAATTAATTTGGTACCAGCTGTCTAATAGACAAGTATCCAGACTTACAATTCGATGGTAAAACTGTGGTTAATTCACCCAGCTGTTTATCGTTTCGAGCCCGCTATGATAAAAATTGCCTCAGATGAGATGTCGATGAAGTCAGAAACGATAGTTTCCATAATGATGCCTATATGTTATTTTTGAACGTTCAACGAACGGATTGGCTATAGTTCTTAGAGAGCATTGATGGAAGATGGAGAGCTTAGCAATCTTCTATTACACCTCATCATTAATCTAAGGGAGGTTTGACGAGCGAATGCAGATATTCTTGTATCCTTGATCGATGAGAATCGCACCAATTCCATTTGAAGGGTATGAATATATCGGTTTTAAAAAGATCGCGTTTAATTACTGGCACACATTACATTATATGAAAAAACAATGAGGACTTTGTATGTCCCTTATGTCGTTTGACTGTAGATTCTTGACATCACAGCAGGAAAATGCCGTTTCTTTACTGAATGGGTGGGGATTTCATCGAGGTTACACGGAGGACAGGGAGATGATAGAAAAAAGAAGGCAATTTCATTAGTACAGAGAAGGACCTGTTCGTATGGCTAGTTTTTCTAAGCAAATCATTTGATCGTAATTTTCTTGTTACAGTAACGCCGTGATGCTTTTAAAGAAGTGTGAACGTTACTGTAAAATGAGCTAAAATGTATCTTGCCAAATAAGTATTCCACTCTCGATCTAGAACTCACTCGCTTGTTTTTTGGGAATATCATCTCCTATCTCTGAGAACTAAATGCAACCGCTCTGAGGGACTGTTTGTTCAAGAATGAATTTATTATAGTGCGGCTTACATCACGGTCCACGTAGACTTTCTGCATATTTCAGAACCTCACTGGAGATTATTTGAGTAATTATCTTTTTATTAAGTTGAAATTGCTCCCAAACAAAAAGTTCGTTTTCTCAGTCACCTCATTTTCTAACAGTTTCTATTTTCGAGGAATCTTTTTGAGAGAAACTATGCATATTCGTTTGTTCTAATATTGTTGACCACTTGTTTTCGTTTCCTCGCCTGCTTCCGAAGCTGTGCCGGTGGTCTGTTTTCCCATTTCAAATAGAAATATAATGAAGGGAAAGAGGGATAGTAAAGAGAAAGACTTGATAGAGTCTGCCATGTACAAGATCTTTCCCATCAGCGCTTTGACGACTGGCTCAACGATACTTGAGATCAGTTTAAAGCTTATCCGCGAGAATAACCCTACCATTTAAGAACATCTGCCTGCTATGCTCTTAACCGGTACAATATGAAGCTCTAATAGTTTAAACTGAGCTTAAGTTGTTTTACGGCTGACTAGTTAGCTAAGTGGATACTTATCAAGGCATTTTAAGATTACTAAATTTCTTTATATCGCCGTCCTAATGTGCTGTATCTTTCACCTGCCACACAAATATGGTTAGCTGTGTGATTAGCTAGTTCATTAGACGAAACGCTTGGAAACATGGAACAAATTTATTTAAATTTTTCGTTTCGGTTGTATCCACGAAGGCACATGCGTGGGAAGTCACAACGAGATCATAATTATGGCAATGGTATGGGAGAACTGAGTTTACATTCAAGTAATTAACAAAGATCCAAAGGTTTCATGTAACGTTACTCTTATACAAAATAACTTCAAGAGAACGAAGGATATATGGAAAATTTTATTGTCTTTTGAGTTGTTTTCTCTAGTCTCAGCCGTTTCAGGTTGTTATCTGAAATGGACATGGAGCTTGTGTTTATGTACCGGTTCCCTGAGGCTATTGAGCAGTGGCGCGAACAAGGCCGGGGATTGATGGGACGAATGAGCGTAAGTTTATTCTTCAACATTTGAAACAAAACTCTGTTTTGATTGCTGAACCTAAAATTTTTTAGGCTCTCGAGGCTTTTCCACCAAGCGAAGGAGTTAAACTCGCAGGAAAAGAAGAAGAGTATGAAAGTGCCACCAAGTTTTTGGCCGATTTGACTTCAGAAAAACGATCAGTTGTAAGTTGAATCTTTCCTCTATGATCTCAGTTGTGAGAAAGGCATTTTCCGAGAAAAACTATGGATTACAAGCCTGCATGTTTGTCACGAAAATTTTTGTAACTCAAAAAAAACTCGGAAGTTTTGTTTGTACTCTCAGTTTCGTTTGAGACTGGTGTCGTAAGTAACCATTCCGGGTCATCACCCTGACGTTGTTCCAAACAAATACCAGCTGTATCTTTAGCAAGACCCCCCAACCGTTGCCACCTCAGCTTAATTTTTTACATGTTGTACTCGTTAAGCCGTTTTGAAGAAGGAGCAGAGATTTATTGAATCTTAGCAACTTATGAAAAAAGTGAGGAAGGAAACCTTCATTTTATGAGTGGTTGCTAGTTGTGTTTCGTTTGAAGGTAAGAGTGACAAACGGAAATTGGCACAGTCTCTGACTTCCTTTCCCATTTATCAATTGCGGTCCATTTTGAGTTCTTTTATCCTTTTCAAAAATTTTTATAAATAATTTTGTACTTTTTAGGGAACGCTCTCGCAGAGTGAATGGGAGACTGTTTGCATGTATTTGGCATTTGCCTTCAGGAAGAAGGGTGGAGAACGAATGGAGGACTCGCCTCTCAAGCGAAAAACAAATGAAGATACTCATTTAGCACATGCCGAATCGGATACTCCTTCTGAAAAAAAAACAAAACTCGATGAAGAAACTGAGGTTCCACGTTTTCATGATTACAAATTAGCTCGACTGTTTTAGGCTGATGAATGAACAGTCTCCATCTTCCTGAACTCTCCTGATCCTAAGGTTCTCACTCATTGAAATAATTCCTTTAACTTATATGTTCGTTCCATCTCAGATAATGAAATAAAACAATATATTTACTGAGTTATTTCTTACAAAAACCTAGATATAGAGGGTCAGTGCAAGAACAAAAGCATCATTAAGAAGCTGAATGTTGTATGAAAAGTAGTTGAGTGGAACGTTGCGAAAATACAAGATTTCATTGTAGGGCTAAAACTTTAGTTAACAACTAAATGGTCAGCGTAACTGAAAAGACCCAGCTGCTTGGAGGCTGTGAACGAAGGTTTTTGGTTTGGCTGAGCAGTATACACTCATGTAGAAGACGAGTTGCTCCGCCCTCTTGTGAAGTCAAAATGGGGAGGGGAGGAGTAGGAGAGGAAGAAGAGGGAGGAAGGAAGGAGAAGGTACAGTAGGCGGAGCTAGTACGACGACAACTGCGACGACGACAGCCAACCCCAGTCTCTGCAGCCTCGGTCACAGCAACCTCAGAAAGCTGTAGCAGCTTTGAACGCTTATTCTCAAGCTTAGATAGAAGTGTTTTGAAGCAGTCGTCAATAAATCTTACAAAAATTACGGCGACACTCACAACTTTAACGGCCATCGGCTGTTTGGCCGACGATGGCGTTGAAGATTCCACAACGTCAGTGACAACGACATCTCCGAACTCTTCTGCTGTAATTCCATCTACAACAACATTAACCGAATGTGCTGGATGTCAACTTCCAATTCACGACAGGTGAGCGCGTAGTTTATTCAGCAAAACATTTTTCCCGCGTATTTTCCCTCTTGTGACTGAGAAACCTTTTGGCCATTCATCGCTTTTTCTCTGATTTTTTTCCAAGTTTTTCTTTCTCGGATTCACTGCAATAATCACTCACAACGTCGTATTATCTAATGAGGGCTGAAACTGTTTCGTTGTCGTTCTATTGTGATCAATTGCGTACCTATTTTTGGCGGTTCTTAGACCTTTATCCTGATACGCTTTCTGTCAGTATGGGCTTCCGGTCAGATGATGATAATTGAGTAAAATTATCGATCTAAAACAATTCCTTATCCATGTTTGAAACGATTACATTATCTTCTATTAGAAGATATACTTTTCTTCTACTGCTCGTCCATGTTCTTCATCCCATACATAAACTTTGGCAAAAAAAATGCTTTCCTATTTGTTTTTTAATTCCTTCTCTGATATATTTCCTCATATTTTCATGTATTTGCGTCATTTACAATCCATATTTGAGTCCATTACTATGTGCTTTGGCTCTTTTTCTCATCTGATCCCCTTTCTGCTGTTTCCCTGCCTTTTCATGAGGATGATCGACAAACTAACCGGCATCCTGTCTGTTGCTCCTCCAGAGCTCTGAGACTCAGTCGTCTGGCCGTATTTTGAGCTACCGTATACCGTTAAAAGCGGTGAGAGGATAGAAAGAAGAGAGATACAGTGATGAAAAGAAAAAGATGGAAGACAGAAAGAAAGAATTATAGGCGTATAGAAATGAGGGAGAATGCTCAAAAGAGCCTAGAACATTAGAAGAAGAGAGAGAGAGAGGAAGAAATAGAGAGCGAAATTGTCGGAAAAGAGGAATAATGTTAGTTTCCACATTGGTTTGCCTTGAGAGGAGATCTCCCTAAAAGTGCTGTAAACGCTTCAAAATGAAGGAGGAATTAATGATATCTGAGAAAGCTCATGAAATTTTTTGTTGAAATGTGTTCAACTTTTTTTTGTCTGGAAATTCGATTGAACTTTGAAAAACAGGCAGTAAGAGCTTGGAGTAGAGAAGGTTGAACAAGCTTCGAGCAGATATTGATGTCACAACATTCGAAATATGAGAATTCGAGTTGACATGAATGTGCTTGTCAGTCCAAGAATCTGCCATTTGCATTCATCGTTTGCTGAGACACAAGAGTCAGATTAGAATAAAATAATATTAAATGATATCTAGTAAATAAACAATCGTTAAGGTACTTATTGAATGTTTTGGATAAGTCATGGCATCAAGCTTGTCTGCGATGTTATGACTGTCTGTCACCTATGACTGATACATGCTATACAAAGGATAATTTAATATTATGTAGAGACGATTTTCATCGGTATACAAGTTTTATATTTCTTATATAAGTTTCTGTTTGAAGACGTTATGTTCAACATTGTGCTGGATGTGAAGAAGCCTTACGAAAAGAAGATCTTGTGAGACGTGCTCGAGACAAAGTATTTCATCTGAATTGTTTTGTATGTTCGATATGTCAACGACGATTAGATACTGGTGAACAGGTTAGTTTAATGTCTGAAAACAAAAAGAAATGTTCTTCTCAATGCTTGTCTTTTATCATTCTTGAATGTGCGCCAAAAAAATATTCTAATCTAATTAGAAACTGCCGTCTGAATTTCATTGAATTGGAACTGTCACTTCTTGCCCTGTTATTAAACAAGGCCTGGTTGTTGTACGTTCTATGCTAATCTTCTCTTCACGTTTTCACGTTTTTTGGAGAAACTCATTTTTCATTTTTCATTTTGCTAATGTTGTGAAGCGGTGGGTGCTTCTACATTTCGTCGCATTAACCCAATGTTTTTTCCTCATTTCAAATGTTCAAAGATGGCTTAAATTCTTTCGAAATGAATCTAAATAGATCAATACCAACGTTTGTAAGTATATTTTCATGTTTCAGCTTTATATAATGGAAGGAAATCGTTTTGTGTGTCAAAATGACTTTCAAAATGCAACAAAGAGCTCAACACCATCATCCACATCAGCCAGACCAGGTATGTTTTCTAGAAACATGCTATATCGAGAACGAAAAAAGAACATTTGTGATCACGCCATTGAATTTGGCGGGTAAAGAGAAGGCAGACAGAGCTTTGAGATGAATAGAAATATCTCTAAACAACATACATTTCTATGTTATGTTATTATGATTTTATTCATCTTTTGTGCATCCTTTAAGTTTGTAAAAATAGTTTTATGTGTAAGCTTACCCCCTTTCATCTCATAGCGTCCATATGGAATATCTTTCTTTTTACGGAAAGGATTAGCAGTATGTTCCATACAGATTTACAGTCTTTTATATGTTCGCGCATGATGATCTTACATGCAACTGTTTGTCGGCTGCCCTAACAACCATAATACCAGCTGAGATCTAAGACACATGGTTGAGTTGTATTTACACTCTGCTTTCCGTTGTCTCATCTTTACAAGATCATAACTCATATTACCATATCAAAATCATTTCTATCTAAAATTTTTTATAATAATAGAATGTTTCAGATGTTTCATTATCCAATGGATCTGATTGCAATTCAGATGGCGATGATGAAAACGTGGATGCTTCTGAAGATGTAAGCTATCTACTCTTTTCTTTCTTCTTCACCCATCTCTTCGAACTCCATGTTCATTAATTTCAATTATTTTTAAACTTTCAGATTCAGTTAGATGATGTTGATGGCGATAAAGGCGATGATTCAGCTGCAGCTAAGAGAAGAGGACCACGAACTACAATTAAAGCTAAACAGGCATGTTAAGATTTTTTTGTCTTCTCTGACCATCAGTTGCTAGAAAGATGTTTTTTGCTTGTTCCGAATTGGGAATGATTGATTGAACACTAACGGATATACGTTTATATGAGAGAAGAGTAAAAAAACAAAAAAAAAGTAGATGAGAAACAACCGAGAAGGTCACTGAATGAGGACGAATCTCAGTGTTTATTAAGAAAAACATTTTGTGGATAATATAATTATTCATTTTTCAGTTAGAAACATTAAAAAATGCTTTCGCCACGACTCCAAAACCGACGCGACATATTCGAGAACAATTGGCTGTCGAAACGGGACTGAATATGCGAGTCATACAAGTAGGTTATTATCATATTTTCTTTATTACTTTCTTTTATATTTAAGCTTTCATTTAAATATCTAGCTTATAAGAGGAGGGGTAATGTTAGAGAATTGATATAATAGACTTGAGAGGGTAAAGGAATAGCCTGAGTTGAGTGAGAAATGGCAAGCATGAGAGAAGAGCCAGAACGGATGATTACATTCAGCGTTTCGTATCTGCTTCTCCTCGAAATACATGTTATTCAATTCTCGTTTCCTTCAGCCCTTTAATTCACCTAGATCTCTCTGGGGACCAACGGCAATTCAATTACCGTATGCTTGCTGACTGGAGCTTCATGAAGCTTGAGAGAGAAAGAGAGAGGGGAAGAGGCAGAGAGAGAGAGAGAGGAGGGGAAGAGAAAGAAAGAGAGAGCGAGAGATACACAACACTGTCCTTGTTCCATACAACATGTTGACGGGCTGTTGCTTCTCAGGCCTATCCTTATTCGACCTTTTTTCTATTTAGTTTTATCAACATGAATGCTATGAAAGCATGAAATATAGAAAAACATACGAAGATGAAAGCTCTTCACCATATTATGTTGAATCACGCCTCTGTGAGCTTCTTGACCTTTTTTTTTGGAGTTTTCCTTATCAAGTTGAAGTAATCTGAAGCTTTTCACCGTCTAGCAAGTAGATATAAGGAAAACGGCTGATTTGACAGATTTTCGATAAAGTCAGTCAAGAATGTAACGCAGAGGTGTCATGTTGAAAAGATAAAGGGGAAGCGAGAAATTCAGAATGAATGTCCGGGACTATAATGATGGTAAAGAGAGAAGGTTGAAGATAAAGTGGACGATAAGAGGCTTTAACTTAGATTTTGGCGACAACGTCGGTTAGCTTTAAGAGATGAATCTTCAAAGCTCTTATAGAGGAAATTGATTATGCCTCATAAGGTTTCAAATAAGGAGTTAGAAGTGTGAAGAGATTGGAAAGACGAAAATTCGGAAGGGGAATGCTAGAATTGAAATAGGAGATAACAACTTCCGGAATAAAACGAGTAAATAAAGATTCTCTTCATTGATAATAAGAGAGGACAGAAAAAACTGATGAAAGGCTCTGAAGTTCGTTGTTAATTATAATAATAGTGGGAAAACTT